TAGAGTCTATCTTCAAAATTAAATAAAAAGGAATAGAAATATTGCAGAAAAGTCATTAAATATATCGAACATGAAGATTGTGTAGTGAAACAACGATTGATGATTTTAGGCTTTTCTCTTCCACAACGCGAAAAGTTCTATGGCATTCAACCGAGAATACTTTCGAACTTCTCTAGTGACGAAGAAAATACCATGAAAAACTTTGAATTCTTGGGAACTGGATATGAAGGTAAACCTGGTTATGTACATACTTTACTGAAATTGGCTGGGCAATAAGAATCGACCATAAAATGATCGACACGCGGCGGTATTGCCAGTGCATAGGCGTTTGATAGCGTACCAAATGAAAGATAGCCAATATCATATTGACGAAGTTTTCTATCAACATAAAATTTTATTCCCGAATTGTCTCGACGACCTATTAAAGTAATAATCTAATCTAATCTCTTTTCTTTCATAAACGCCTGATCTCATACCCGATAATAGTCGTGGATTATCATAATGAATTTGAAGCAAATAATATTTGATAGGAAAATCACCACCAACAGGATAGCCAGCTACAGGAACATATTCTGAAATCTGTTTAAAATTTTTTATTATTTGTACGATTAAAATACACTCTTACGTCATCTGCACCAACAGACCATACAGCAACAATGTTTGATGTACATATTTTTGCCAGTTCCATCATTTGATCACATTCACCAGCAGGTAAACTAGTGTCGTCAAAAATGGTTGTTTCAGGTTCACATTCATACACATCCATATGATGAACGATGTCACGATTTACCGAGTCAATAATGAATTGATGCTGTAAAGAAAATAGATACATATATATAGGGCTTATCAAAATTATAACTCCCCTTTTATCTTTGAGATTTTTCAAGGAAGACGAATAGTTAGATCAAATCTAAATAGTGATTTCGATAGCCCTTCAAGTTCTCTATCGAAAACGGAATAGATCAAAATCACCCAAAAAAACTTTCCTTAGAAAGTTTTACAAAAAACCGAAGTGCTCCAAAAACAAGTACTAGAGGCATTTGAGAAAAATATTTCAAAATATAGTCATTTGAAAGAGCAAAAAATTCCGAGTAAAATGAGGGGTCGCTCAGTTCTCCACAATGTTTGCTTATAAAGTTATAAGTAGCAGAAAAGTGAAAAAAAAACTTCAAAGATTCATAAAAAAACCGCTCAAAATAGCCCAAAAACACATTTTTTTTCACTTTTCTAATGCTTCTATAAGCAAACATCGTGGAGAACTGGACGACCCCTGATTTTGCTCAGAAATTTTTGCTCTTTCAGATGACTATATTTTGAAATGTTTTTTCTCAAGTGCCTCTGGTACTTGATTTTGGAGCAATTCGGTTTTTTGCAAAACTTTTCAAGGAAAGTTTTTCGGGGGGGGGGGATTTTAATCTATACTGTTTTCCATAGAGAACTTCAAGGGCTATCGAAAGCACTATTTAGATTTGATCTAGCTATTCGTCTTCCTTGAAAAATCTCAACGACAAAAGGGAGGCTATAATTTTGATAAGCCCTGTATAATCAATTAATTATTGAAATCAGATTATACCGCAACAGCATGATGTTTCATTGGGAAATGGCTCGGCGCTTTGAATACTTTGCAATAGTAGATTGTATCAATAGGTGGAACTAAATACTAATATGAAAATAGATGTTGCGAATAGATTTATCAAAAATTAGTTTGCAAGTTGTAACAAACATGATTCATTCGCCATTCGAACGTATCTAATTCAGCAAACTTGCTTTTCGGAGGTGGAATACTATAAGATTGAAGTGGAATGATACGTGAGCCTCGTCGATTTTCATGATATGAAATATCATCATCTAGCCGCGCCATATTTAGATCCGTTAAACCATATGCAAATATAAGAACGTTCGTTCCAGACTAGATAAATATATTCTACTACAGTATGTAAAACATTTAATAATCTTATACTTTAATTGGAACATCCATTGAATCACAAGTATCTAGTAAACGTTTAAATTGAATTGCTGTCCATCCATTTAGTTCACGACCTTGCATGGCATGCCAATCCATGGTTGTATCATCAGGAATAGGTTTTGAAAAACCAAATGCATATCGATCCTATTAAAATGATTGAGATTTTCGATAAATTGAGAAAAATCAATGTGTGTCTTATATGAATCGAAAGCAAAGTTATTTATTTTTTTTTTGCTGTAAGCCAGCGTATTTTGTATATATATATATATATTAAGGTTATTGTTGTCCGAAAGACAGTTTCTTACTTGAAAATGAATGTTACCCGCTTGATCGATCCAACCCACGCCGATATCTGCACCTGCCATACCGCCAGCTAGATATTCATTCGTTGAATATAGTCGAAGAAAAATTAGAAAATCTAGATCATCTCTACCTGGACTTATACCCAAAGCAATCCAACCTGTAGTTTTAATATGCAACTCGAACACAATTTCTTGTTTAATATCATCCACTGTCCACCATAGATCGGCTACATTTTTTTCGAGTTCTACGGAATAGTCGTACTTAGTAAATGGTCTGATAGGGCTTGAAATTGAATTAGTATTCTTGAATATAAATAGTGTAACGAATATTTGAAAGATACGAAGCATACACATAATCTTAATTAGAATATTTAAAAATTATAAAGTAGATGTTTTTTTGCATGTACAGATAAAACTATATATACATATGTGTAATACTACAAATGTGTTGTCGACCGTTATATTAGCATAATCTTCAAAGCACATTGATATTTATCCTTGAATTTGAATTGAATCGTATATTTTTCTTTAATGGCATAATCATGCACATTAGATTTATATGTCAAAGAAAAACTTGGGGAGATTAAGAACATTGTGCCATTTCGGTTGGATTAGAGAATAGATCACCTGGACGTTTATGCAAAGGATTTGTGAAAAAAAACTGGTCTCGAACCTAACGAGAAGTTTCTCATTACTTTGTTCTAGCTCCAAATAAAATTCATTCATCATCATTACTAGTACGATCATCAGAAGTTGTTTCTATCACTATTGCTATTATTTTATAACACACATCAACTAACTTGATACGAGTCTGAATGCCACATTGGTCTACTACTGAGATGTTCTAACCAATTTAGAGTGTTATAGCTACTGATCATCAAATAATGAGGCTGGTTCAATCTATGATATATATAATGTTTGAAGGCCTCTTTAAATTGATTGAGTATCTACAAATATCTATGTTAGAGTTCTGCAAGCAGTAGTCTCTGAAGGATCATTAGGCGAAGATGAACTTCGTCCAATTTCAAATCTCTTTTCATAGTATAAGAGTAGAATCAAATAGAATACCATGGAACAATAAAAAGTAATATTAATTTGATGATCTCAATCTTTGTTTTTGAGCAAACGATCTTCTGGCGAGGTAATTCAGCTTTAGCTAACTTGTTTAAAAATGTTTATTCATTATTTATCATTGTTGTCACGAGCTACTTTCAGCGTGTATAATCGAGTTCAGATATCAAAATGAAAAAATAATTTTGATTAATAATTAAATTTGAAATTTCAAGTATTTTTTTTCAAAAGAATATTTCTCATTGAATATAATTTCATAATCAATCGTAAAGAAAACTTCAAATTTTTTATTTATCGAAAAATCTTTTGTTCTATGAAAATTAAATGTCATATTTTCTTCAATAAAAAACCAGTATTTTTATTGATATGTTTTATATTTCGGACCGAGTTGATTCTTAAATTTGTCGACTTTAGATCGTTTTGGTAAAATATAAAATCGTCCGGATCGAGTTGATTCTGCTTTATTCATATAAAACGTTTTATTATCCCGGTTCTCACTTATCAAGTACGATTTCACAATATTAGTGCATAGCGGATTACAGTCTCATAAGCTTATGTTCAATAAAAAAATGACTGTTTGAGATTGGACATTCCATATAGTATAAGTCGAATGTTTTGTTTTGAAATATTCACACATATCTTCAATAAGAAACTTCTGTTGTGATATCAAATGATTTCTTCCACATAAAACGCAATACTATTAAACTATTGATCTGATGCTTCTATATTGATTTGTAAACTCCTCTCCAAGAAAAATCATCTTAAAATTTTTCAGGAAGGCATCGGTCATTATCGAATAGATGTACGCAAGAATCAACAATTGAATTTTGAGCAATTCGTTGAATAATAGCTGACTGAAGTTGTTGTTTTTCAGCAAATAAAGATAAACAACTTTCTTTCACTATTGTCAACGTGTGATGAAGAAATCTTGAACTGAAGAAATCCGCATATGAGAAAATGATCATAAGTAGAGAAAAGATATGTCGCATTATGTGGGTGTGGGTGCGGATGTGGGGTGTGGGTGCGGATGTGGGGTGTGGGTGTGGGTGTGGTTGTGGGTATAGGTGGCTGTGGCTGTGGGATGTGAGTGTGGGTGTGGGTGGGCTGTGGGTGTAGGGTGAGGGTGTGGGTGTAGGGTAAGGTGGGGTGTGTGGGTGTACTTTTTATTCTGCATCCACACCCACACACCCACATCCACATCCACACCCACACACCCACATCCACACCCACACCCACACCCACACCCACACCCACACCTCACCCACCCACACTCACCCACACGCACACCCTGGTACATCATTATCTGCTGGTAATTGTTGGTTTGATATATTCGTTCGAATACCAGCGGTCGATAATATGTCATGTGAAGGACAAGAATTCGTAAAAGAATATTTGTTAATCATGCATTTTCTTCTCGGATACTACAATACGAATCATTTTGGGTAATTTTCATGGAGAGATAGAATTTGTTCAAGTTAAATTTGCTTATCCGACTCAGCCAACAGCGATTGTTCTTAATAAGTTTCAATTAAATATCAAGCCAGGTAAGTGAGAACAATTTTCGACTTATTTTAATCTTTTTTGTGTAATCGGGGCAATGTGTAGCTCCTGTTGGTATGTTTAAATTAAGTGTTTCTTTTGATTCTTGTTATTAACTTAATATGGTTGATTTAAGTGCATCTGGTAGTGGGAATCAACAGTTATTCAATTGTTGGAACGGTTCTATGATGTTGAACATGGTCAACTGGTTAGTATTTCTTTAATATATATAGACTTTATTGATCAAATCTAGCTTCTGGATGAACTTGATATTCGACAATTAAACATTGACTGGATTCGTTTTCATGTTGGTCTTGTCAATCAAGAACCAATTTTGTTCGATTTAGCAATTGCTGAAAATGTAGTATATGGATTAGAGAATATTCCCATGAAAGACATTATCAGTGCTGCAAGTAAAGCTAATATTCATGATTTTATTGAACAAGTACCTCAGGTCAGTCAATACAATAAAAAGGTGACTTTGAATATCTACTAGTATTATATATCATATTATTAGGGTTATGAGACAAAAGTAGGGACGAAAGGGAGTTTTTTAACAGGTGATGAGAAGCAAAGTATTGCTACTGCTCGAGCACTTCTTTGTCAACCTAAAATATTGTTCTTAGATGAGACTACAAGCGCCATGGATTCATACAATGAACAAGTAAGTTTATCATTTCTGTTTATTGACAGAAGTTTTACTTTTCAACTGTAGATGGTTCAACAAGCTCTAAACAAAGTGCAAGCAGAAGATCCTAGTCAAACATCACTCATTATTGCTCATCGTCTTTGAACTATTCGTTCATGTTATTTAATTTGTGTCGTCAACAAAGGACATATAATTGAGAGTGGTACTTATACAGAACTAATACAACGACATGGAGCTTATTATATGATGCCTACTCAGAATAACTTATAATAGCAACTACTGAACTATTTTAAAATAGCAAAAAAACACTTTGTTAAACATACGAAGTAATTTTATCCGAAAAGTCTAATGAAATGTATATGCTTAGAGTCATAAAAATAACAGGTAGACAAAGTTTATTTGATTCGTTCAACGTACAAGTGTAATCAATAACTACAATAGGAGTAAAAAAGGCAAAAAACTTTTTATTAGCCACAGCAATTCTTGCACAGATTTATCATATCATGACATATTCTCAGCATGACATTGACAGCAATTATAATAGCTTTTGCAGTAACTGCATTTTCTAGTATAGATATAATAAAAAGGAAAAGAACATATGCGGCGAATGGAATAAAAACCAAACAAGTAACAATAAGTAAGATGGCATTATATAATCGATTATCATTGTTAAATTTGTTCACAGGATGTAATTTCCACACTATATAAAAAATCGTACTAATGAACGTCAGAGCGATGCAGATATAAGTATGATGAAGAACAAATATCGCTCCCGATGAATGATGCTTTAGACACAATTCAGTGTAGTCAAATATAGTGATAACGAAGGTAGGAAAGAGCAGTAAACTTTCACTTAAAACGTGAGAAACACAGAAACACAAGATTGTCAAAAGGTGGCTGTCACAGTCACACATTTTCTTATCATTGTCATCCTCTGACTTGCCTCGTATAAGTGAAAGACTTGATAGACCAATATCTACTAAATTAACGAGAACGGCCACTATAGTAGGCAGCCAATAAGCCATGAGAAATAAAATATTTTGTTTTGCTTCCTTACTAATTATATTCTTGTAAAGGGTTGATACATCAAAAGTAAATTGTGTATCCGATGAACAATTCGTTGTACCATTCAAATAAGCTTTGACAATGTAATAATATGAAGTCGGATCAACAACATGTCTTATTACATATAAATCACGGTTTTGATATTTTACATAATATTCTATATTATCTTTCATCAAATAGACAGTTGAGCCGATTGCATATAATGACCTCACAAACAAAACGATCGTCCCAATGTACGACATTTCTCGACGAAATTATTCGCTTGATTCTCTACGTATTCATAACTCCTTTATACTCATACTAATTACATAAAAATTTGTTCCCACGTGTCATCTTTGAAGCAAAAACTATGACTCCTAAAGGAAAACTACTAAAACGTTGTGTTTACTGATAACAACAGCATAAAATTATCTATGTTTGTTAAGCGACACATCTATCGTAGCTATTATTTTCTTGAGGGTACGGGTGAGAGTGAGGGTGAGGGGGGATGGTGAGGATGAGAGTGAGAGTGAGGGGCGAGGATGTGGGTGAGAGTGAGAGTGACGGGCGAGGGTGTGGATGTGGGTATGGGTGTGGGTGTGGGGAGGTGTGCACCAGTACCAGTAATTGGGTCCCAGTCGGACTGCGTACCCAGTCCGACTGGACACTCAGTCCGATTCGATACCCAGTCCAACCAGGTATCCAGCCCCACTGGTACCCAATTCACCAGCCAAGGCTGGGACTGGTGCATATGGCAGTTGTGCACAGGCTCCAGTAACTGCACCCCAGTCGGACTGAGTTTTCAGTCAGACTGGGTACCCAGTTCACCAGTCAGAACTGGGACTGGTGCAAGTCTAGGTGTGGGTGTGAATAATCGATTATATAACAATATCCGCACCCGTACCCACACCAACACACCCAACCCACACCCACACACACACCCACACCCTTTTGATCACTGCTTCGCGAATATTTCGATCATTGACAATCGACAATAGATCATCGAAACGAATTGTTTGTACAACAAGATGATCTTGTGCGTTTCTTGCCACTTCATTATTTAGTCTCTGTGAGCCAATATTATTTTCAATATTTGATCTCAATGATAAAAAGACACCTGATCGACTGTAGAGAGCACGAGGCACAAGAACAACGCGTTGTTGAACCTGTTCGAGTTGTATTGCTCGACGGATTCGCTCGATATTTGGATGAAAACATTCAATCGCAATCACAGTGGGACAGCCTAAGGATGCAGCATACATTGTGTATACACCGATATTGGCACCGATGTCGAAAAAGGACAAGTGACGATGAGTGGAAAGAATGCGTACGAAACGTGTCACCAAGGGTTCCTCCCAAATGCCAGCTGAAACGAGCAAACCACTCACATCTCGGTCTTATGTTATATCATGTACACATACGGTAGTACTATGTTTGTTCAATAAAATTTTGGTTTTGACACATCGAAATATCTCGTTAGTTACAATATTGAGATCAATGAGATCATGATAAGTGAACGACGATGATCTAAATGACGGTTGCTTTGAGTGGTGAGAATGAAAAGCGAGGAAGTATGTTCGTTGAATGTATATCAGAATGAATAATAGACCTGTAAAACTGACAAAATGTGATATGCGTGAATGGACCATTGTCACCATATTCATCTAAAAGAGGTGCATTTTATGAGCGATATTGAGAGTACAAAGATTACAGCTAGAAAATCGCTTCATATGGGCTTAGAATGTGCATTATATTCACTTTGTAATTCATTGTAATCTACTTATACAAGCAATCAGTATGGCAGTGAAGTTCAGCACAATGAAATGATGAATGTCACCATTTGTCGAAGAAGACTTTTTCTTACAATTCTGAAAACTTGTGGTTGTTTTAACAAAGGAATCTAGCGAAATCTTGAGTGTCTTTGTCGATATATGATACCATTCGAAAATGTTTTGGAGAAAAAGTGATCCTTATTAATACCAACAAAGATCAATGCAAAGACTGTTGTGCAACTATGAACTTGCCATTCAGCAATGTATTGGAAAATTGTGTGAACAGAAAAATTAAGATAATAGCCAAAGCCCGAAACGAATAACAAAAAATCCTATTTGGGCCAATTCGATTATTCACAGCTCACTTAACTCTACATCGGCTCGAAAGGATTCAAACACTCTTTTATGAAGGATACAGATTGATGAAACAATCATACAGGAAATGAAAGACTGCGTTTCCTGCTTTGATCTAGCTGTCGTGAACCGTACACATAAAATGTGTAATAGTCAACGTAGTCTCAATGATCACTATGTACATATATAACAGTTCACTATATGCAAAACCTCTATATGGCGAGCACCTCTCATACTGAACATTTTTCGACAGTTCCTACAGTGTTCACCATAGGGAGGTTTTATTAGATCTGATTGTGATATGTGTGAACGCAGTGAAAATTGAATAGAGAAAGTCAAGAAGGCAATAAACAGCAACAATCCGTAGTTCAAGCACCTCTTCTCTCCGAAATGGTGTCACAGCATACTCATTTTAAGCTTTTAGACTATTTTAATCTCGCATACTTGAAAATAATCATCAGAAGTGTTCATCGCCTTGAAAGCGAAGTAGCGGAATGATTCGAAACCGAGACTAAATTTGGCTGAATCAATGAGTATCGTAAGTAGATAATTGGATGTAGTCGGATTAGTTTTGATAACTATACCTTTAAATGATCGATAAGATATCCACCGAAGGCCATCGAATGAAATACTCATGTCGAGACTAGCTTGGAACGCACGGCTGTGTACAATATCGAGAATAAATGAAATATTAGTGCGAACACGGAAAAAGTCAATGGCAAAAAAGTCTCCTGCTAAAGTGGATCGAGTACTACGCCAACATGTTTCAAGAATGTTATCTATGGCTTTCCATGTGCTGTAGGACAGAAAATAGTCTACATGAGGACCTAGAGGCAAAGTTTTATGAGTGCCTCGTTCAAAGTCTCGTGAAATGTTGAATGGAATATGTTCAATATCTATTGGAAGAATATTGGTATAGAAGATGAAGTCGTCTTTGGGACTGGGCGATTTCACGTAATTTGGATAGCGACGATTTGATTGACGAGAAAATGCTGCATCACCTTTTGATTGATTGAAACGTAGAGAATCTTCAAGAATTCGAATGGCAAGAACAGAACTTTTGTGCTGGAGGCGAGCGAAATCGGGTGTCGTCGAGAATGATACTTTATTGTCAGCGGGACCTACAGGTAAATTGTGAATTGCTGTGTGCATTTCTGTCGGAACATCATTGAGCCAAATAGAAAAGAATACATCACCGAGTCGTATTAAATCTGAAAGTAGTCAATAGATGACTAACATATATAGATCAAAGAGATTCGCTTTGGTTTGACCCTAATAGATTGATTCTGAAGTCAGAGCTCGTATTATTTAGCACAACACTGATTCCGAATAAGCACAGTATCGTTAATCAATTTTGTACATATGCTGCGCCTGCGAATCAACAATTGTAAGCATAAAAATAATAAAATTTACTCAGTCAGAAATTTTTCCTGGAAGAATCTTTGAATTTTTGAAAATGTAAATTCAATAGGATTTCATTTTCCTCGCGAGAGCAAATCCATCTCTGGGTCAGGTGTCATTCCTCTGTTTATCATTTCAATATGGTGGCAAGTTAAATCAGAAACTATAATAAGAAACCATTTGACGAGTCAAGAAAAGAAATGTTTCCATAAGGGATATGAAAGATTTAGTTGCAGAGATTCTTGGATCGATATCCCAGGTGGATCATTCCGGATGTTCGTAACGGCGTCGTAAACGGCATAAAACGGCGCTATTGCGGGCCGTAATCTGTCAGCCAGTTTTACGGCCACCGTTTAGTGCAGTAAACGATCATCGTTTTTACAAGAAACAGTCATCGTTTTTCACTGTATTTTAGCCGTAAAACGGTATGCCGAAAAACGGTCTCCATACAATATCGTGCAATATTATACAATATTGCTTCTCGCATTATTTTTATCATCCCATTTTACGGCTAAAATACGGCGAAAAACGGTGACCGTTTCTTGTAAAAATGATGATCGTTTACTGCACTAAACGGTGGTCGTAAAACGGGCTGACGGTTTACGGTCCGTAATAGCGCCGTTTTTCATCGTTTTATACCGTTTACGGTCGTTTACGACGCCGTTTTCTTTGACCTGGGATGATCATTGTATAACAGAATAATACTAGATCTCGAGATCATGATTTTTCCTACCCTGATCATTTTTTAAATATGTATGGAGCAATTGAAGATGTCGTTCAGCGTGTTCACGTAGAAAAACGCTACCACATCCAATCCATGTGAAACCCGTGTGTAGATCAATTCCAAGATCAAAGAAGGTCCATATTAGATGGCTATAGTATGTGTATGAGTTGGTCATCGAATGCAATACCTTTGGATCTGAGCGAAAACTAGCCACTAGACTTTTGATATAAAGAGCCGTGTTCCAATCATCGTCGGCATAGAAACATGCACGTGTTTTAGCTATAGCGCAGGCACGATATTTGGCTTCATCCTTTAGATTTTCTTTCGAATTAATCACACGAATAAATGTTGAGGAATCATTGCTCATTGTAAACTGGCTAGCATTGAGAATTATTTGCGGATTATTATTCCAAACAATAACTTGTTTGAAGATACCACTCTCAATAAAATGTTTGCAACTTCTTTGCACGCCTGACAGACGCTTCCAATGAAGTAGCACAGCGGTCAGATCATACTCTTGTTTCAAATGGAGCTCACGCTCGATGGCTTGCTTAAATTCGATATGGCTAAATCCATGATTAATAAAATCATCAGGATTGTAATTGGTATTGTTATCAAAGTGATAGAAGAATTTGTTGGAACTTTGTTGAACGTAGTCAATAATATACAAATAAAATTGTATCATGAATAAGATTGAACATAGGAGAACAGTGAAAATCATACACTTTCGCCACATTAATGGTGTAGTATTCTATAACAACATCCAGTGACTGTCTACAAAAGAACAGATCAAGCATCAGACAACGATTGTTTGTGTTTCAAGCGAACACTCATGCAAAGGGACCAGTCCGAAAAAAAAACGTGAACAAGAGCAAGATAAGTTACTCCCAAAAATATCAATAATCTTCATTAATTCCTTGGTCTGAAAGGCTAGGTCTAAAAACATCAATTAAAACCAGAAATTTTGTCACGTCTGTATTCGGATCTGTAATAAGCGCTTTCTATGAATCTTTGTTCATTTTCGGCATCTTTTGCCACTGTCAACACTTCTTTTCTACATATTCCTGGTCGTCATCGATCGCGCCTACTCTTTTTCTATTAATTCTCTAGAACATCGAAACTTCCGGCTGAACAACAAACGCGTAATTTTCGAAACCCTGTAACTATAGTCTGAAAGACCATAAATAGAAACAAAAAACCTATATCTAGAGAATACTTCCAAGTATGTGTAGTAAACTTTCAGCCGAATCAGACAAGGATAATGGGATAACGACGTCAGGCTGGCAGAACTTGAGATTTGCGCTTCATATAATGCACCAGAAACAAAATGAGGTTCTTTGTCTGTTAAAGTCAATTTCAACTTCAAATTTAAAAGTCCAAAGAAATTTGAAGACGTGTTTTAAAAAGGGTTTCGACATAATTTGCTACGGAATTGAAATGTATACAATCAAGACCATAAATTTTATATAAAAATAAAAGAACAAAATAAATTAGAAAAAGAATTATTTTTCCGTCTTTTCTGCTTCGAGTAGTCTAGATGTTAGAGACTTTTCGGCATCAAAGTCATTGAGAAAAGCTAAAAATAGTCATGAAAGGTAGCCTAAAACAAAACACATGAGTTCCTAGATATGAGTAGAACTTTTTGTTAATATGTGTCGGCATCTAAACTCATTCTGAATATCATCTGCATTAAGAACTACGCAACAATAGAATTTCTGTGGTGAAAGAAAATGAATTTCATCAACACAGTATAATTCGATTGGTTTTAACTCAATTGAACCCACTGGCTCTGAGCATTTCCAATGATTTTAACTTCGAGCATCCTTCAATCATAAAACCGTTATGATGGTTGCATTTATGATCATCAGTGACATTCCACTCGGTATCAGCAGTTGATGTTTGTAATAGAATCCGAAGCGAGAAAAAATGATATTGTTTTCAACCTTCCTTCCAATCTCTAATGTCATCACAAGTAGTCTCAAAAGGAATGATAAACTTAGTGACATTTTGCTGTTGACAAATTGGTGAATCGAATACCCATGTAGAAAAAAACGACCAAAAAATCTGATTTTAATCAATTTTTTTCTGATTAAAAATCGACTAAAATGGCACGACTTTAATCCGATTTGAACCCGATTGTCTGATTTTAATCGATTTTAATTGCTATGACTATAAAACGCGTTTTTCTCCAGTTTTAACTTAGAAACTCCAATTTTTGATTATTTTTTCTGACTCTTCACGTTGACAAATGGTAAGTGTACTACTAGCCCTATCTTTGATACACTTCCACATATGACACCAATTCATACTTAGTCGTGTAGGCCAAAACGTCGATGAATTAGATTAAAATCGATTAAAAACGATCAAGATCGGTTAAAATCGATTAAAATCAAATTTTTTGGTCTTTTTTTTTACATAGGTAATGTCCATTTCAGAGTTAAATGGCCGTTGGCATTTTTTGAATAAATTTGAA